CCTACTCGCCTCCTTTCGCTTCATTTCACCCTCCTCCCAAGCTATGCCCAACAACCCTTAGGCCCACACACACACACACGCACACACACACACACACACACACACACACCCACGCACGCACGCACGCACGCACGCACGCACGCACGCACGCACGCACGCACGCACGCACGCACGCACGCACGCACGCACGCACGCACGCACGCACGCACGCACGCACGCACGCACGCACGCACGCACGCACGCACGCACGCACGCACGCACGCACGCACGCACGCACGCACGCACGCACGCACGCACGCACGCACGCACGCACACACACACACACACTATAACTAATTGCACACATATATAGTACGCACCCACAGACACACGCCCACTCCGCACACTACACACTACTACACACTGCCACAAACTACTACACCCTACTACACACTTCTCCACACTCCTACGCACACTACTACACACACGACTACAAGCACTACTACACACACGACTACAAGCACTACTACACACAGTACTACACACTACTACGCACTACTACACACCTACCACGCACTGCTACACACTGCTACACACTACTACACACTACTACACGATACTACACACTACTACACACTACTACACACTACTACACACTACGCACACTACACACACAACACACGCAGTACAGACTACAAACACACACACACACGCGCGCGCTACACACTACCCACACACACACACACTACACACTACACACACTACACGCACACACACACACAGAGAGTACACACTACAAACACAACACCTAGACACACACTACATACACTGCATAAACTACATTAATACACTACACACAATGCAAACACAACATACACTACATTGATACACAACACAAGACAAACACAACACACACTACACGCATTACTCATACACCACACGCACTACACATACACACACACACTACACAATCGCCCGGCACTTGCAGTGGAACTCTACACTGCGCCAGGCCATGGCTGTCGCTCCCTTGTAAGCTAAGCCTCTACAAGCCTTAAGCCCCGCAAGCCATAAACTCCGATGAGCCCGGAATTCTTATTAAACCCCACAAGACCGAAAGCCTCCAGGCCCCGAAATGTAAGCCACGCAAAGCCCACCTTAAACCCGTGCTAAACCCCAAACCCCACACCCAAATCCTGAACCCTAAACCCTAAATCCTGCCATCACCCATGAAGAAGAAGAAACCCTAAACCCTAACCCCTAAACCCTAAACCCTAAACCCTAAATCTTAAACCTTAAACCTTAAACCTTAAACCTTAAACCTTAAACCTTCACCCCAGCCTAAGGTATGGGCCCATGGGCTTCTGTAGCTCCACTACAGACGAGCTTACCGGTCCCGAGGTGTGGCGGCGGTTTTGAAACTAAGGGTTTAGGGTTTAGGGTTTAGGGTTTAGGGTTTAGGGTTTAGGGTTTAGGGTTTGGGGTAGGGCTAGGGATGTTGTTCTATTTTCCCTTCTGCGGCTCCAGAGCATCATATGCAGGAACAGTTTTGCAGAGGGTTTTCGGGGCCGTCCTTGTTCCTGCGCGTGCTCACACTTACGCAGCTACCGGCTCCGGGGCTTGGACATTTATTGTGCGGGTTTAGGGTTTAGGGTTTAGGGTTTAGGGTTTAGGGTTTAGGGTTTAGGGTTTAGGGTTTAGAGGCTTAACTTTGTCTTTTTCAACTCGGACCCAGCGGAAGCCTTGTAGGGTTGAGGTGCCCTTAATAGTGAGCCGGTGACCTTAGTAATGAGCCTCTGCAAACCATCTTCATTCCTAAGTTGCTCCTTCTTTCGTAGGGTAGTTGCATGGTCCCTTAGTATCGGCCCTGAAGCAGGGTACCCCCTATATACCCCACATATACCCCATACAAGTTTAAGGCCCACGCATCAGAAACCTATAAAGGAGCACCAGAAACCCGAAACCCCAAAACTTGAAGCCATTTTCATCTTCAAGCGGCACAAATGCATTTGGTACCTTCCTGGGGTCCTGATGATAATGGCATTCTATTCGGGAGCCACCGCAAAAAGGTTCGGCCTCGCTTCAGTGGCGGGAGCCACCCCAGCAGCTGTCCCTTAAAGGGTTTAGGGTTTAGGGTTTAGGATTTAGGGGTTTGGGCTTAGGGTTTAGGGTTTAGGGTTTAGGGTTTAGGGTTTAGGGTTTAGGGTTTAGGGTTTAGGGTTTAGGGTGGAGGTCTTCTTGACCCCAAGCCCACAAACCCAGCCCAACTGCTAGCTGAAACCCAAGGTCATCAGATTCCGTGACGAGATGGTGTCAGAGTACGCGCATGGACACTACCAAAATGCGATGAGCTTGAACGCCGCTGAGAATTGAGACAAGTCGGCTTGCAAAGCCGGCTTGCGTAATTAGGGTTTGGGGTTTAGGGTTTAGGGTTTAGGGTATAGGCTATAGGGTTTAAAGTTTAGGGTTTAGGGTTTAGGTTAGATGGATATCTGCAGAATCATTGTTGAAGCACCTTCGGCTAGGGGGTTGAAGCATGCAGGCCCATGAAACCCCACACTCATGCTCTGAGCGAAGAAAATGCAGCATCTTGTCCTTCGGTCTTGCAACCCTAAACCCTAAACCCAAAACCCTAAACCCCAAACCCTACTTAGTCCCCAAAAGCAAAGGCAACCTGCACCGAGTTGGTCGACGACCTCCTTATGCCCCTTGGGCGAAGCACGCAACCCTAAACCCGAAACACCAACCCTAAACTCTATAAACCCTAAACCCCATGCCCATTTCAAGGTGTTCGGGTTGAGGTTGCGAAGAGGGGCCTTTCACATATTGAGCTGAACTCGAAGGTTCCAGAGATTGCTGGGTGGCTGAGTGGTACTCTTTTCCCTTTTGTAGTGTTTAGGGATTTTCGGTTCAAGGTTCCCTGAAAAAGTAGTCAACCGTGCCCTTGCTAGTGATGTGATGCACAACTACCTCGGGGACCAAGTGAACCCTATCACTGGGGTCATATACCCTACGCCATCCTCGCCACTCTTCAGGCAGATTGACCATAAGCCCTTTTGGGGCTCCTTTAGTCCCCAAGGACGTGTCTGCAAGCCTCTTAGGTACCCATGCAGGTCCTGTAGTGGCAAAGGGTTCTGAGGGCCCCAAAACCCTAAACCCTATACACCCCAAACCCGAAACCCCAAACTGCCCAGGGCCTCAATTTGGACCGTTACTGGGTGGCATCGACATGTGGGCACCGTTGGACACTTGGCCCTTCACATGTTCTGCTGATAAACGAACCCCCAAAAAATGCAAATATTCTTCCTTACAAGGGCAGCTTGTGTTTTCTACTGCTTAAGAACCCACCCTCGAACAAAAAGAGCATACACAGATTCTTCCTTATAAGGGCAATATTGGGATTACAATCCTTTTTTGTTTTGGGGCGGGGGGGGGGGGGGGGGGTCTGAAGCAAATAGTAGTTTTGCCTCACCCTAAAGCCCCCTTTACCCTCCGGACTTTTGATACCAGCCCGAAGCCCAAATCCTATACGAGTAGCTCTCTAAATAAGGGTCCCTTTTCGGGTACCCTCAATATTCTGGGCCGCCGTAGAACAGTAACCCCCAACAGGGACCGTCATGGCGTCCTTTCTCAGGGATGTCGGACAGCAGATTTGCAGCGTGTTGGTCCATAATGTTCGGGGTTTCGGGTTCAGGGCTTAGGGTTTGGGGTTTAAAGGTTTAGGGTTTAAAGGTGTAGGTAGGGTTTAAAGGTTTAGGGTTTAAAGGTGTAGGGTTTAAAGGTTTAGGGTTTAAAGGTTTAGGGTCTAGGGCTTTGTCTATGGTTTTGGCTTCAGGGGACCCTGCTCCAATGCCTTGGGACACATGCATGAATCCCGAACACCACTGTGTTTGGGGTTTGGGGGGCGTTTGCCTCCACAGCATCTTTTTGGGGGGCATAGCGTACCGCAAGACAAGCTGAGATGCCAATTCTGATGTACTCAGCCATTCTCCCTCATCCAATATCCCTCCCCTACCCTCGAATTTTTCAATTTCTCCCATGTGAGGTATATGATAGTGTGTGGGGGATATTTAATATTTGGGGTCAATAAATTGAGGGAGCGGATTAGGCACCGCGACCTCCAAGTTAGGAACACAATCTTGCGTGAAGGGAACCTTAGGGACGAAATGAACTCTAACATGGTGTATGGTTCATATGCATTAATGGGGTGTATAGTAGTATAGGGAATATGACCCTTGTTTTAGGGCTCAATTGGTCCCGCAACCCCAGTGAGCTGGTTTAGCACGTTTAGGCCCAAACCCTAAACCCTGAACCCGAAACCTTAAATCCTAAACTTTAGACCCTAAACCCTAAACCCTACAAGCCCTGAACCCGAGTGAGCTGGTCTCCACAGGTGATTACTATCGGGATCCCGAGTTGGCTTCCTTCTCCTGGAGGGAGGGCGAGAAATCCGCAAGGCCAACCGCTGAGCAGAGTCATCCTAATCCGGGGTTGGGGTTTAGGGTTCAGGGTTTAGGGTTTAGGGTTTAGGGTTCAGGGTTTAGGGTTTAGGGTCTAGGATTTAGGGTTCAGGGAAGTTTTAGAGCCTTCCTTTGACGCTGACTGAGCAGGGGCACACAAGTTGACAGGGCTCTCGCTGCACTGGATGAGGTTCTGATCCTGGGGGTTCTTGTGGAAACACCCTTCCGACGAAATAGGTCCTGCCGTTGTTGCAAGCACGCCGCTCCCTGTAGACCGAGCGTGTGTGTTGTTTGGTTGCGCGCATGTTTAGCACTATACTTGCTTCTTGACCGGCTTCTTGGCTACAAGCTAGGTAAGAACCACCTTGGGTTCGGTCTTGAAGCCGCGAGCAAGCGTACTTGTGTCTGGGAAAACTCTGCATGGTTCATCTTAGGGGATGGGCAGTTCACCTTTAACCTTTTTTGTTCTATATCGCCCTACTACAAATCAAAGGCTAACCCTTTTTTTGGCTAGGGTATTCAGCCCTGCAGTAAACCCTAAACCCGAAACCCTAAACCCTAAACCCTAAACCCTAAACCCTAACCCCCAACCCTAAACCCTAGGGTATTCAGCCCCTAAGTCCCTAAGTCATGGATTCTGAGAAGGCCGCTGCAGCATATACAGATGACTGCCGTGGCCGTCTTCACCTCTGCCTTGCAGCCGAAGCTTATCGAGGACTACAGCGCCTTGGCATGCATGTCGTGCTGGGCCCGACTAAACCTTCAACCCTAGAACCCTAAACCCAAAACCCGAAATTCTAAAACCCTAAGGCCCTAAACCCTGAACGCGGTGCAGGGCCAGCAAGGGCCTCGGAGACCGATTTGCATGAAAAAAGGGCAAGGCGTGCAGGAACTTTCCTGGGCTCAACGTCAGATTACCACCAGGGCTGCAGTTCAGGGTTTAAGTCTTTTTGTATACATAGAGTTTAGAGCACTCAAAGGGTTCATAATTGAGGGTTTAGGGTTAGGGGTTGAGGGGCCTGAACACCCAGGCCATGTCTTCCAGGGCATCTACAAGCAGCAGGAGCCGCGATGTTTTGCGAGTTGGCTTGAAGGGGCTTGGGAAGGGTCTAGTTTGTTTTTGTTCTCGGGGTATTGTTTTTGTTGGGTTCATTTGCTAGCTTTTGCTTTCCAGAGTCTCCCTGGAGTTGCCCAGAGTCTCCCTCCAACCCCAGAGTGTCGGAGTGCCCAGCCCCAGAGTATCTCTACCAAGAGAGGGTGGGATGTTCGAGGTAAAATAATTTTGTGTTTTCGTTTTTTTGTTTTGGGGGTTGGGGGGGGGGGGGGGGGGGGGTAGTGGGGTTTGTTGTTGAGTTGGCTTTGGATCTGGACTTAAGCTTAGCATCTTCGAACTTCCCGCAGGATCAGAGAGGAACCCTCCTGCCCTAAGCTGAGGCTTGTGCGAAGTCAGTCGCGCATGCACGGCTTCGTTATGCCTTCTTACCACACCCCTACCAACTGATAAATTGCCCTTTCCGGAAAAATTCCTGCAGCTTGCGAGAAGCGTTAGGATTTAGGGGTCTAGGGTTGGTTTAGGGGATTAGGGGCCATAAACCCTATAAACCCTATAAACCCTATAAACCCTATAAACCCCCTAAACCCTATAAACCCCCTAAACCCTACAAACCCTATAAACCCGATAAACCCTATAAACCCTATAAACCCTATAAACCCTATAAACCCTATAAACCCTATAAACCCCCTAAACCCTATAAACCCTATAAACCCCCTAAACCCTATAAACCGCAGGAGATGGTCAAGCTCATGGACAACTTCCGCGCTGAGTTGGAGGAGGCACGGGTTTGTTAGGGTTTAGGGTTTAGGGTTTAGGGTTTAGGTTTAGGGTTTAGGGTTTAGGGTTTAGGGTTTAGGGGTCAGGGTCCTTGTGCGTCAAGTGGCTCCAAATCCTCGCCACCTTGGGGCTTAAGCTCCCTTTTTGGATAGAGCGTTGGGGGTTTGCGGGTTTTTTTGTGGGTTTTTTTGGGTTTATCGTTTGGATGCTCCGCCTGATACTATAACAGTCCTTAAGAGGGATTAATTAAAATAGGGGGTACTATAATCCCTATTAAAACCCTAAACCCTAAACCCTAAACCCTAAACCCTAAACCCTAAACCGCTGTTGGTCTAAGGGGCCTTCGGAGCCATCCGAGGTCTCCGCAGAGGTTGGCCGGCGCAACGAGAAGCGCATCCATGACCCGGCCATGGGCGGCTCGAACGAGCACTCGGGGGGGGGCGTTTTAGGGTTTAGGGTTTAGGGTTTGGGGTTTGGGGTTTAGGGTTTAGGGTTTAGGGTTTAGGGTTTGGGGTTTGGGGATTAGGGTTTGGGGTTTAGGGTTTAGGGTTTAGGGCTCGGGGGGGGGGGGGGGTTTGGGGCTCTGGGGGCAAGGGGGGTTGGGGGCTCGGGGTTAGGCTCTGCAAGGTTTAGCGCATATAGGGTTGAGAGGCACAGAGTTCAGAGTCTAGGGGGTTGAGTTTTTCGCGGCAAGGGTTGAGAATCGATTACGGAGATTGGTTGGGGCTATTAGGTCTATTACAAGACTTAGCTTGGGGCGGAGGGGAGGGGGTTGAGCACGGCTTCTTCGAGGTTGCCCTAAACCCTAAACCCTAAACCCTAAACCCGCAACCCTAAACCCTAAACCCATGGGTGGTCTTGGCTTCCGTTTGTTTTCGGAATTGTGGACGAGGGGCCTAGATGAGTTTTGGATCTTCCTCGTCCGCAGCGTAGAAACGAAATGAGGGTTTAGGGTTCAGGGTTCTGGGTTCAGGGTTCAGGGTTTAGGGTTCAGGGTTTAGGGTTCAGGGTTCAGGGTTTCGAATTCACAGGGATTCGCGGGGTGTTTGCGTTTATTGGGTGGGGTGGGGTAGGTGCTGCGTGCGGTCAAGGTTGCCAGAAGCCTTAGTCCATAAACTCTCCAAACCCGAAACCCTAAACCCGAAACCCTAAACCCTGATTCTCGCTCCTAGCCAAGGTTTCAAGAATATCCATGCCGACCCAAAGATTGTGGAGTGCTCTGTAGCCGTCTGAGGGGCGCTCCACAGCACTGACTTAAGTGCTTGCTGTGTATAGGCCTGTGGGGTAATTCTCTAGATTAGGGTCTTTGTTGCGGGTCCTTCTTCTGAGGGGCGCCCCCTAGTGCCTAGGTGATTCCATACGGGACCCGAATTTAGAGAACTACCCACACATGGTGAAGAGGTGTCAAGTACCCCAAAGTTCTTGCTGCCACGGCTCCAAGCGGGGCAGCTTCAGGGAAAGCCGGACCGCCGAGCTCGTACTTGCCACGTCGAAGGGATTTAGGGTTTAGGGTTAAGTGTTTAGGGTTTAGGGTTTAGTTGTTTACGATTTTAGGGAGTACCTTTTTTTGGTTCCTTATTCAAAGTGGATCTTATTATTTGGGGGTCTATATGAGGGGTCCCTTATTTTCGTAAACCCCCCCAAAATGGTCGCTGTTGCCCAGAAAGGGACCATCATGTTGAGAACGCACCGTATGTTCACAGCTCGAATAGCTCGATGGGGGTTTATGCTTTGTCTGATAGCCTGACAACTCACCACATGTTTACGGGTCGAATATCTCGATCTTGGAGGGGGGGGGGGGTTCATGCAACAGTAAGCCGCAAAACTGGGTCGCGTCCCAGGTCCCGCATCCCTGCTTTTGCTTTACATTTGTCCTGATCGGGCAAAAGCCAGATTCTCCGGCCCCACAACGGACCCAAACCGCCAGTTCCAACCCCAAGACATGCCCTGAGTCGGGTCCAAAGAGCCCTCTAAGATCAGCGACCCCCATCCTCTCTGATTTGTACCGGAAGATTGGGCTGGATCAAGGTTTGGCTGTGGCGGCACGCTCGGAAGATCGGGGGCCAGTGGAGGGTTTAGGGCTTCTACTAGGTCTTCCAGTAGCAGCCTTTTGCCCCTTTTTGTTTCGAGGGGTTCCTTACTTGATCCCCTTTTTGGGGGGTCTAGGTGCCCTTCTCAACCCCATTAAGCAAACAAGGGCGCCCGTTGAAATCCTAGGCTCTGGCTAGGCTACTGGGGCCACCTAGCCCTAAACCCTAAACCCTAAATCCTATACCCTTCTTATGAAGGAGTTACTGGGGAACCTGGTATACACCTGCAGGGCTTTCCTAGCTTGCTAAAGCAGAAAAGGGGTACCCTTTGGGATGTTCACCCTTAGACCTAACAGTCCTTAATAGGGACTACAGAAACCCTAAACCCTAAACCCTAAACCCTAAACCCTAAACCCTAAACCCGATTTCGAGTTCAGGCTTTAAGTTCAGGAGTTCCAGTGTTACCTACTATTTGCTTCAGAACCCCCCCCCCCCCGGCAAAGAAAACACATGAAGCTATTCTTCCTTACAGAAGGGCAATACAGGGTCGTTTATCTTTTCTTTTTTGGGGGGGCCCTAAACCCAAAACCCTAACCCTATAAACCCTATAAACCCTATAAACCCTGTAAACCCTGTAAACCCTATGAACCCTATAAACCCTCTAATCCCTATAAACCCTATAAACCCTATAAACCCTATAAACCCTATAAACCCTATAAACCCTATAAACCCTAAACCCTAAACGGGTTCTTAAGCCAGCAAATAGTAGTTGCAGGAGGATGGAGGGCTTTGCATCTTGCAGGTTTAGGATCCCAAGGCCCAGGAAGCTGGGCCCCAGCAGCGTCTGGTCACTCTGGGCCCAGTTGAGGGTGAGGGTTTAGGGCTTAGGGTTAGGGTTTAGGGTTTAGGTTTTAGGTTTTAGGGTTTAGGGTTTTGGGTTTAGGGTTTAGGGTTTAGGGTTAGGGTGTAGGGTTTGGGGCTTAGGGTTTAGGGTCTAGGGTTTGGGGTTTAGGGTTTAGGGTTTCCCCGGTCCCCGTAACAGGACGCGGTGGGGGGGGGGGGGGGGGGGGGGGAGCATGTGGAGTAGAATTCAGAGAACCCTCGAGTCCAAACCACCCTCCAAGCCCAAGGGGCAAAACCAAAAAATGGCCATGGGCACCGGTGAGGGCCCTAAACCCTAAACCCTAAGCCCTCAACCCTCAACCCTAAACCCTAAACCCTCAACCCTCAACCCTCAACCCTAAACCCTAAACCCCAAACCCTAAACCCTAAACAGGGCACATCAGAACCCCTCATGCTTTGTTAGATATGGTCGAGGTTTGGGCTTTCCATGCGTCCCCTCTTGGAGGTTCATGGCTACTTATAAGTAGAGTTCTAAGCAGGGTAACAATGGTGGTAACCCTAAACCCTAAACCCTAAACCCTAAACCCTAAACCCTAAACCCTAAACCCTAAACCCTAAACCCTAAACCCTAAACCGTCCTTACTCAGGGGACTTGTAACCCTTCTTAAAAGTACCCATGAACCATCAAGCTTCCGAATCGGGGTGTTAAGGGAGTCGGATCCACACTTCTTCATCAACGTTCCATCCACCGACCCCTTGCTTTCGGCATTCTGCACCTTTGCAGCAAATGCTGCCATCTTGGGATGTTCCCCCTTATGCTAACAGTCCTTAAAAGGGATTCTGAATCGGGGTATGAAAATCCCTGTTAGTATAAGGGGGAACATCCCAACTGCCATCGATTATCATCGGTTCCATCGCTCAACACCGGAGGAAGAAACGACTTCGAGCACTGATACTCTGAAACGGGGAGGGTCGCTTCTCGTATCCTTCAGGGCAGACTTTGTTTTACCTGGAGTTTTGCTTTGGGGGCTAGATATGGGAGTTTTCGAAAACCCAAAACGACACCCGAACAGTAGGATCCCCTTATAACTCTAACCCCAAGAAGGCACCCCTAATGAACGGTGATGTTTGCAACGTTAGTTTAGGGTTAGTTTAGGGCTTGGGGTTTGGGGTTTAGGGTTTAGAGCGGCATAAGTGAAGATGGTTTTTTGACATGAGTCCGAGCCTGTTGAACAAGCCCTGCAAGATGTGCATTTTCGGAAGTGACACCGCAGCCTAGACCCTATAAACCTTGTAGGCCCTCCAAAGCAAAACCCTGATTAGGGGCTGCGGCCTTTTTTTAGGATGCCATCATTGCCAGGTTTTACCCTGCAGGGTTACAGGTAAGGTTCAGGGTTTACGGTTTAGGGTTTAGGGTTTGGGTTTAGGGTTTATGGTTTAGGGTTTAGGGTTTAGGGGTTCCGCCTGCCCTGTTTGAATCTTCAGGGTATAGGAGCATGTTGTATTCTCCCTTGTTGCGTCCAAGGGGATCTGTTTTCGTGCGTTTTCACAGGCTTCCAGAGACATCTTCCAGCATCCACACACCTCCCCCCCCCACCCCCCCAAAGACGCGCAACCCCTGGAAGATCGGTGCAGATCAGATCTGTTTGCACCCTAAAACCCTCAACCCTATACACCATAAACCCCAAAACCTCAAAACCCTAAAACCCTAAAACCCTAAACCCTAAACCCATTTTTGTCCAGGCTTTCGGGGAAAACTCCCTTGGGGCAGGTTCAGCATTCGCCATCCTACGCCTACTACCTCCTCTCCTCACGATTCTGGGAGTTGGCTGGTGGAGTTCTACTTTGCCTCTTCTGTGGCTCCGCCGCGTTGTGCTGGGTTTTGGGTCTTGGGTTTTGGTTTAGGGTTTAGGGTTTAGGGTTTCGGGTTTAGAGTTTAGAGTTTAGGATTTAGGGTTCCGAAGCCCCAAACCCTCAACCTTTAAGCATAAACCCTAAACCCTAAACCCTAAACCCTAAACCCTAAACCCTAAACCCTAAACCCTAGACCAGTAGGATTTTAGGGGTTTAAGGTTGCCATATGTCGGAGAATGGGCATCATGGGTGTTAGGGATATTTTAAGGGGTGGGTACACAGGCTAGAAGGATGGGTTTAGGGTTTAGGGTTTAGGGTTTAACCCTAAACCCTAAACCCTAAACCCTAAACCTTAAACATGCTGTTATGAAGTTGCTTTATGGTTTGAGGTGTATGCTTAAAGGTTTTCCGGACAGAGGCTTCACTCTGTACAAATGCTCCTCCAGACCCCTGCCCATGCCTGAGGCGTTCAAGGGTTGCCCATGCCTGAGGCGTTCAAGTTTTCCCCTAAACCCCAAACCCTAAACCCCAAACCCCAAACCCTAAACTCTAAACCCTAAACCCTAAACCCTAAAGCTTAAACCCCAAACCCCAAACCCTAAACCCTGAGCAGCTCGTCAGCGAAGGTGCTGGTCGAGAGGCGCTAATTGCTGCCCCCTGCCTGCAGTGGGATGGTTAGGGCTTGAGTATGGGGGGGAGGTGGGGTTTAGGGTTTAGGGTTTGGGGTTTGGGGTTTGGGGTTTCGGTGCTCAGAAAGCATCGTGGCTCCCAGCTGCTCCCCCACATGTTTGTTGGAGTTGGGTGCCTTTCTGTGAGGGTTTTTTCCTGGCCAGTCTCTCCAAGATTCCTTTGCCTCAACTCCGACTCACGAGCGTGCAACCTGCAACCTCAATTGCAAGCCCTTGCAAGCCCAAATCCGAACCCCAAACCAGAGGTGGTTCTGAAATCTGCCACTGCAAGTAGCTTCTGGGTTCTTGAGGTAAAACCCTTAACCCTAAACTCTAAGCTCGAAACCACTTCAAGGATTTGCTGAAGCATCAACCCATGGTTCTTCTGCTGCTGCAGCTGTGGACGCTGCTGTTGCTGGGGACGCTTGGGCGGACTTCATGTCGCGACATGCAATCCTTATCCATGCAAGCCCCTAAAACCCTAGGGGCTTCGGGTGTAGCGTTTAGGTTCGAACCCGTCGAACCCTCGGCCCTAAAACCCTGCAGCCCACCGAAGGAATGCAGCGCTCGTTATAGCCGGGTTGACGGTCGCAGCGCTCGGGATTCAAGTTGCGTTCAAAAGCTCGTAAGGCACTGTTTCGGGCTTGGGGCATGATATGAACCAAAGCGTCAGGGAAAGCGTTGGAGGTTCCACTTTTTGGTATGAGACGGGCGCCCAACCCGGCCTCCATCCCACTCCCCCAACCAAACTGGTGCCGGACCCTCAACCCTCGTTTCCGGAAGATAAATCTTCAGCTGAGCTGGGAAAACCAAAGTTCCCTCGACATCCTCCACCCTT